ATCATATCTCATAGGGTACCATCCTTAGCTAAATGCAATAACATCAATTAGCCCCACCCTCTTTGCAATCCTGATAATCTGTCCTATTTATCGTAAGTGTTTTCTTAATATATTTTCTTTGAAAATGGAAAAACAATGATTAAAAAAGGGGCAGGGCTTAGGTCAGCAGTTGCCAACTAGGATTTTCATTGAGACTAAGTGGTGCTGTCTTTTAAGTTGTTGGTTAGCAAACAACATTTGATACTGTCTATCAATATAAGTTTATGGCATACACTGAAATCACATGTAGTAACCAAACAGTTGCTAAAAAGAATTAGATTTTTTTCAAAATATGAAATAATGGTAATAAGGTATGTGTAGGCTGTGGGCTGCCTTCATAGGTCAAGTCCCTCCTGTTCTTTCTATATATGTAAATGACTTCCCACAAAATGTAAAGAGTGCTATCAAAATGCTTGCTGAAGAGAAAATTCTTCAAAAATACCCAAAAGTTGACAATACAGAAAAAATTTTCTGAGAAATTATAGCTTTATAAGTAGTCTGAAGACTCCCAAATATTTATGTTGCAAAGTGCAAGAAGGTCTATATGGGATACAACCATTACTATAATCATATCATGAAAGTTAAATTTTTAAATTAAACTAAAGAATGAGTTTCATGAGATTACAAACTACTCAAGAAACAGAGATTTCACCATGTATTTTCTGGCAAGAGCAACTTTGGACTGGTTCCTTTAAAAAAAAATTGCCAGAGAAGTCTAAAAGTTCTATCTTGCCAGAGTGCTGACATGCAATGAGAGTGAGGTAATCAGTGAAAATGACAGAAACATGGGTATATTGTACACATTCATATTAATACAAATATGGTAAGTGTCCAAAGTCAGGTAACAATGATACAAAGGAATAAACAATACAGCTTAACAAAGCAACCATAACAAAACTAAGTGGTACATTAAGTAATTCATATGGCAAGTGACAAACAGGGCAATCAAGCAATGAAAAGGATAGCCTCAGTGACACAAGTGATCATTGGAGCAAAGGCCAGCAAAGCTCCACCATAAATACTCTAGCATAATGGTTTTCAAACTGGATCCCATGGTATTGTGGGGTGCTGCAAGTTTTGTAGTAAAATTGCATCATTTTCTCTTTTTCAGCAGAAGTGTTTTTAGCTATTATATCTTTTTCCTATGTCTATATTTGTCATTTGATCTGCTTTATCCAGATGGAAATAGAGTTTTCTTTGCATAGACTCTATATCATCTCTCTAAGTAGTCTATAACTCAGTGCAATAATAATAATAATAATTAGTAAATCTTTTCTATCACCCCACCTTCACCTGATATGCTCACGACCGCAAGTTTGTGTCACCCTGCCCACAACCAAAGTTTCCTATGACAGCATGCTGACGTCATCTGCCTCCTAAGCCAAATTTTTTCATGATGTGATTGTCACAACCTCTGAATCGTAGGGTTGAGTTGCTCTCATTCTTCAGGTAATAATATTTAGTTATTTGAACATGCAACCTGCTTTTATGTTTCAAGTTCCTGCAATTCATGGAACAGGAGAAGATGCAATTTGCTATAGAGATAAAGTTATGTGAGTGGGTTGGGAAGCAGGGTTAAAGAAAGGGTACTACAAAAATTACTGTGAGAGAGTTAGGTGCCATCAATGACAATAATCTAGGGTAAGTTACCAAGTGAAATCACCCCTCTGAGACTATATTCTTATTCCTTTAGCCAAGAACCTTGGGGGCACTCCTGGAAATCTGTAAACATTGCTGCATTACCCCAAAACCTCTCTCACCCAGACCCCCCAGATGAGAGAGTTTGCAAATTGCATGGATGACAAATATCTTCCTTAAAAATGTGCATCTGGAAGATGTCAGTGCCTAGGTATATAGACTTTCACAAATTTTAGACGTAAACTTTCTAGACTGGACATTTTTTTCATTTACTAGTAAAGATGAGGCTGCTGCAGCTTAAACTATGTTGCATCTTACTCTATTTCTTACACTCTATTTTCCTCTCTCTTATTTGTTGCCTTTGGTAACATACCCTTTCTTCATTTATGACATTAGTTTTTGCCTACACAGATTCTTTCCCATATCAGTGACAGTGAATGTAACTTACCACCCTCTGTATGACAGTGACATTAGATTTTCCCTTTCTTAGTGCAGTTATTATGTAAATATATGACTATTTTGGGAACCACTGATATTGCAGACGAATCTGCAGATTTCCTAGGCAGTTTACCATCAACTGAGGATACAGTTCCAGCTCCCTAATGGCAATTTTAGCCTGAGCGTGAAACATGGATGTCTGGCAACCACTTGATGAAATTCTGTTTTGGGAAGTTATTAGCTAAATATTCCAATCAAATATCTGTAAGAATCAACAATGGTAATTATTGAATATACATAACTTATCCGGTTAGGAACTCAAATAACCCTTCCATTTGGGTGGTTTAATTGTTACGTTATTAACGATAATAGGACACTTATTTACCAAAATTCTTCTCTCTTATCTCTTCTGCTGAATACTTAAGTGTATATTCTGGGGGTCTGGGTATTTCTCTCTTGTTCCACACGTCCATAATGAAGGTTACTGCGAGTTGCTCATGCTGTTGAAGTTTTAACTCAACATGTTTTTGTGAGGATTCCGAGCACAAAAGTATTAGTTATTTCCCTTATCAAGAGCCAACAGTATTTTTCATTCTAGTATGTTTTTTTTACAATATATCATAAAAAAATCGTTATCATTAGTTTTAAAAGATTATCTGCGTTTTTTTTTTTTTTTTTTTTTGCTAGGCATAAAGCTAGAGTCCCTAATCTGCGGAAAAATAAATAGTCAATCATTAACATAATATTCATTATAGAGGATAATTCCTTTTATTTTCACCATTTTGTCTATTTCTCACGCCTATCAGCTGTTAAAGCCTTTAAGTTCTTATCCCATAGTAAACAAGGTAGCTGGCGACCGGCAAATGTTATCCTGTAATTTACCATATACCCTCATGTAGGTAATGATATTTAAAGGGATAAATATTGATTTAATATACATGTTACATTTCCTTGCTGTGCAGAAATTTATCTTATTCAAAGACCTTCTGATTAAGAAGTCCCTACATCAATGTAACGTTCATAGTCTGATTAGTAGTTTTACATGGTTTTATTGTCTGTTAGTTTTTAGTGTGGGTTTCACTTATGCGTCAGTTAACAGAACGGATTCTTACATATAGATATTTTTTTAATGGTGGATTTTATCACTAAGGCCAGTCAAAGTCATCGCCAGTTTCAGAATATGAGGAATCGGTTTATCTTCTTGTTATGTTGGACGTTGCTTTTCCTTTTACTGCTTATGGTTTGATAGTCTACTTGGAATGATTTTTATTGTCCAAGAATATGAATTAAAGAATAAGCATTTGTGAAAAGAAGAGACATGGCTCATAGGCCATTGTAAGACAGTGTTAAAATTCTGATTGCAATTTTCTAAGAGTTGTCAATTTTTATTAACATATTTCTGTTTAATTCTTTTTGTTACATCTGTCAGCTTTACAAGAAATGAGGGCAGAAGTTGAAATAGATGGCCTCCAGTATCAATGCCCAACATTGTGTGTCTAAATAAGCCCTCATACATTTCATACCATTTTTTTTTGTATCACAATACTGCATTATAATCCAATTTTAGGGAGTAATATGGTCAGACATTTATCCTGTAGTTTTCTGTCTCTTTAGAAAAAAAATGATATAAAAAGGGTGTCTGCCTGCCCCTGCTCAGGTCACAATTTCTTACCAATGAAAATTATATTGTTTTCAGAAAGATATTTGTAAATACATGTCTTGTGTTATTGTTTTGTGTTATAAATGTTCTAGTATGTCTGTTGTAGCAGTATCATTTGTGACATAGAAAAGCTACATAATACTGTATACTTCAAGAAAACCAATTTTGTAGACCTCAAAATTACCTTTGTCTTAAATTTGCAATGGTTGTGGACCATAAAAGTGTATAATGTCAGTTCCAGACATGCATTTAATACAAGGTAACTGTAGAGTATGTAAATGAATTGAGGAATTATAAGATGTTTATTTTTTGAGACAGTTGTTGCAGATTGAAAATAAGTTTATTTATCAAATTGATAAAAAATATAGGTAGGCAAAGACTTTTTGAATATTGCTAAATGCTATTTTTGGTGTAAAGTCTAGTGAGGATAGGTATACACAAGTATATGCCATTTCATGGTAAAGTCCAGCAAACATTAATTGCAAATATTTTGAAATGATAGAACTTCTGTGCCTCCTCGACAATTTATCATCCAACAATGAACTAGGCCAAGCTCTGTTATCAGAAAAATGTGTTGTAGAGGGTTGCTAGACATTCCTGGAGATGGTCACTATTCATTGTGACAAATAAAAAAAAAAATATGTATATATATAAATGAGAATGAATATTTTAACACTGCAAATGTATTTGAGCATTTTGATTTTTGCTTTGTGAAAATATTAACTCTTGTTCATAGCATCCTCTACAGTTGGGATACAGCAGCACACAGCACAAGCTAAAAGAAATCATAGGAATAGTGTGCATCACTATTCCTAGGGATAATGGTACACACGCATTGAGGTACTAATTTCAGTTAAACATCCTTTCTTGTAATTCATATAATTTTATACGATTGACAGCTGTGATGATCCGCTTTCAAATGCCAAAGTTCATTAGGCGGATAGTTCGCCGGCACACAAATCAGATTCCTGAAGTACGTGCTTTGTCTATGAGGTAGGTATAAACTTTCTTTCTTTGTTTTGTAAATGCATGTTACATGACTATATTTCTTGGGAAAAAAAAAGTTGTGGTAATTGTTACTTATAATTGATTAATTGATAACAATATTCATACACTTGAATGCTGAAATTTGTTCATTTATGTATGTTTTATGTATATCTTATGATAAATTTTTGAAATTCATTTCAGGAGGAAACTTTCCTATGGGTATGCATTTATAGCATGGAACTTGTTTGGATTAGTTGCTTATATGATTTATACAGGACGCATTAAGAAAACAGACAGTGACTTGTCTCAAGGTATGGTAATGTGATAATTTGTTAATATACATATATAGCAACACAGACTTGTGATTTTGTTAATAATATAGAACTGGCTTGGAAAGGGTTACCTTATGTTACATACTTTGGTATAGCCTATATATGAAAAAATGCTTGTTTTTCATTTAGAAATTAACTTTATTTTTATTGTTTGTATATTTTATTTTTAAAAGTTATATGAGTTTATGAAGACCTAACTTCTTTAACATGTGTGTTACACAAATGTGTGAAAATTGATTGCCTTCCAAAATAGAATGAGACTTGATTATGTTTTATTATATAGCAAATATATGCATAATTCATATGTTTGCTATTAGTGTTTTTTATTCTAGAGTAATTTTTCCTCAGATCTTACACAGTATGAAGATTTTGCATTTATAATGAACAAAGAAAGAATTGGGATATATCTTTTATATTCAGTGACTATTGATTATTAGTGCCCATGTCCAACAAATTATGTTGCAGTGCTTATTTTAATGGATTAATTTTTCCTTTCATTATTTTCTAGCTCGAGAATTTGCGAAACTGCTGAAGAAGGAGAATGTTGTGTTGTATCGCATTGAGGGAGTAACACCTGTTGGACGTTTTGATTTGGATGAAGAATTCCGAAAAGCAGAAGAAAACAAGTCTTTAGCAGAGAAACACGAGGACAGTGAAGAATTTAAAAGTGATGAGAAGCAGTCTGATGAATTCACATTTGAAGAAGAGCTACGTCCGTAATGAAGCTGATCTGTGGTTAAATTGTGGTATATTTCTTTCCAAATACCCTTTTACAGTGTAGTTTATAGTGTGAAATTGAATATTGTGTTTTTTAACAGATTGCAAAACAAGACTTTATGAATTACAAACCTCAGAGATACCTAAAATTTGAATATTTTTTCTTTATTCATTTTTGCTTAGCCTAATAGCCTTGAACTTGGAGTAACGGTGGACTCTTTTATAACATTCTGTTACAACTAGAAAGATGGCTGTTCAAATGATAATGAGTATAAACCACCTAAAACATACAACACACACTCTTAGAAACGTAGCTGTATCATTTTGCAGTAAAGCTGCCTATGTTTCCTCACATGCAAATGAGACTACTGTTAAGAAGGAGCAAAAAACCTCAGCATTGTATGTGTCTGGGAACAAAGCTGCAACAACTTTTTCAGTTCTGTCACCTTATCTAGATTTTACAAAATGTTTCCAAGACATAGGCAGACTGGAAGCTAATGTCAAGCTACGGGGATTAGACACAGATGTCAGAAAATTATCAAGGATGTGGACAGAGTTGAAGGAAAAGGAATTAGTGAAGGAAAAGCTAGAGAAGGAGAGAAATTCAGTAGCAAAGCTGATGAAAGAGTGTGCAAAGATAAAAGATAAAAATGTAAAAGAAATGCAAGAGTTTAAAAGGCAAGGCAAAGAGATTCGGGAGCAGTTGAAGAGCACCACCCAAGAGATTTGGGACCTGGAAGAAAAGGCTGTTATTGGTGCTCTGCAGTTACCTAATGTTCTGCACAAGTCAACACATGAATATGATAAGGAACTTTTTAAGCTTTTTGAGAAACCAAAATATGAATTCCAAGCCAAAAGCCACATACACCTGGGAAGTATTAATCAGGAGTTGGAATTTGTTAATGTCTCACCTACAGCTTATTATTTAAAAGGGAGATTGGCAGTTCTTGAATTAGCATGTAATGATTACTTCTTGAAAAACTTTAAAGATCATGGATATTTAATACATTCAAATCCAGATTTTGCAAAGGCAGTTATTGTAGAAGGCTGTGGGGTGAATATTGATGAGAGGGTTTTTGCATTGGGCTCTCATGAAAGTGATACAGACAGTAATTTACAATACCTTGTTGGAGGTGGATCTTTGCAAGCATTTGCTGCATATTTTACAAAACAGGTTGTAAGCAATCCAGAATGCTTACCTCAGAAAACTAATTACAGTTGGCAGGCATTATACTCCACCCAGAGTTCTTGATAATCCAGGCCTTTTACATGCTGGACAGTCTACAGTTGTTGATGCTTTTTTATTGTACCATTCTCAGGCAATTGATGAAGAACTGTTGTTGAATGAAGTACTCATGGCTCTTGTGCAGAGCTACTCAAGACTCAATCTTCATTTTAGGCTTACACAATATTCAGCTGAGAGACTCGAGCCACAAGAAAGTGCTGCCATAGGTCTGGAAATGTTTTCTCCATGTACAGAAGAGTATCATGAAGTAAGTCGTGTTTCTCTGTATGGGGACTTTATAAGCAGAAGACTTTGGTCTCTCTATAAGACTGGTGGTTCGTCGGCGAATTTTCTATCAATGATCCATGTTAAAGTATGTCATATGTCTCGATTATTGGCTCTTATAATGGAAAATGGTCAGAAAGAAGATGGAAGTTACAATATCCCAACATGTATAACTACTT